TTCCCATGTATTTCCAAACGGGTAATATATTTTCAGCAATTATTGAAGGCAAAATCATTGAATTTATATTGAATGGAACTGTATGAGCAAGAGCGTATCGATCAGATCCTATCGTAAATCGTGTGCTGGAAATTTGACGTAATGGCCATGTATCAAGTGAAGCATCGAGATCACTGGATGATTCGGAAAAATAATATAAAATGAAGAAATTAATCTGTATTGTTGACGAAGGAAGAATTACCGAGAGATTTTTTTTATTCACAAGGCGATGATCGGTTGTACTTAAAAGCAACGTTAGTTTTTGTAATGATGGCATTTTACATAAAATATCAGTAATTTCTTCGAATGCCCAAGACATTCCAATCGAACATAGTTTAAAATCCTTTAGATGAACCAATGGTGAGACATTCGCTAAATTTCCTGTTGATACAAATGGTGACTGTCCAATATTGATATGTAGGCGACGTAGATTCGGTAAAAATGTGAATAGATCTGCTAACATCTCAAGATCAATTAAATTAACGATCAATTCTTGAATATTTTCATAGAATAATGTTGTGTTGGTTATACGCAAAGGTAAGAAAATTGAACCTTGATCAAATCTTATGAATTTCAGTTGCTGATTGCGAGACAAAATTTGTTCAAGTATTTCATCTTGCCGTTGTTCCAGAAGACATTTTATATTAAGTTTAACAAGTTTCGGAGTTTGCACATTTTCGAAATATGTACATAGTTGTTCACCAGTAAAATATTCCAATGTTAATATCTGTAGATTTGGAAATATTAAGGATAAATTTGCATCGGATTTTGCTAGAAAACTTAACCAATTTCCATTGATTACCATCGAGCGGATATTTGAACCGATATTCGATAAAATATAATTGAATTGTTTATGTGTTGCTGTATTGAAATTGAAATTATCACAAAACTCGTTTATGATCCTATTGAGACGAGTATTGAGATTGAAAAATGAATAAACAATATCGATATGGTGAAGATATTCATAGACGTTTAATAAGATTTCATCCGGCAATATTTCAAAAGCCGAACATCTGTTCATATTCATGTAAAATAAAGACATAGAAAGAAGTCAGCTCTTTCTTACGCTGCAAGGATTTATTATGATTAGAAAAAAAAATCAACTATTTTTGTGCACAACAACAATAAAAGTAAGAAAAATACGAGGCGAGTTACCTGTGCTGTGACATTGACCACGTTTTTTTCCTTCTATAAACAAATGTTTATATGAGCAACGATCTGTAGAGACCTGAAATTCAAAGTATGGGAAATACTCAGTTAAATGTGAATGTATAATTTTTTTCCTCGTAATATGAGCCTCAAAGAACAATACATCTTCACGCTAGACGGGACTTATCCCCATCTACGTATAAAGCCAGTTTCAGGTGATCTCGAGAACTAAAGGAATAGTTTTAGATTATATTTCTTATCTTCTTGATTATATCTTTTACAAATATTTTTATTTCTCGATTAAGAAATAGGATAATTTTCCAGAGACTATTTATTATATGTGTTATTTTCAAGCCAAACACAATGTTGATGGAAAATATCTGCAAGTGCTCTGTCAAGATTCGACAGAATATGAAGTTCGATAAGGTTTTCATATAACATTTGATGATAAATCAGAATTAATTATATGTTGTCCACGCTCACGTGCGATTCAGATGAGAGACCGGCGAGCTAAATGATTTGTCCCGCGATCAATTTTTTTTTGTTTAATATTATTTAATCATATAATCTACAAGAAAAACACGAAGTAACATCAACAGTGGTATTTTGTCTTTTTGTAGATATGAAAAAGGCAAATAATATTATTTGTTAATTCTTATCTCCAATATAAAATCTTTTCTTTTATTATTTATCTTTCTATGCGTCTTGATCTCGACAAATTCCAGGTGATTCATTAACGTTTTGGAAAAAACATGATAAAACATTTCCAGTACCGTCCATTTTTGCAACAGCTGCTTTGGTGATCGTAGACAATCCATAAATAAACGTCGAATCAATCTTTCTCTATCGCAAGTGGACAATATTTTATTTTATTCGTTCAATTTTATTAGATGGTTATCAGGTGCTGGGCTGAACTGAATTCTGTTCATTTGAATTTGTTTGCTCAAACAGATTATTTGTTTTAAAAAAATTGTAGAGTTTTTCAGGCGCGGGACACAGGACGAGACGAAAATATTGTCGTCCTGCCGGTCTCTATGCTCTTCTACTAGTAGCTGGACACCTTTCAACATGATTAGCGTTTCAAAATGAACAACGGACCATCACTTAAGCTGATGGTATTATATAATGGATAAGCTCCATGTTAAAAACGAACAAAAAAGACCTAAGTTATTTTAAAATTTCCCGGTATCCAACACGATTTATTTCTACACAAATACTATCAATTTGAAATTCTACGTTGTCAACTACAAAATATACGGATGATTCAATATACAGTATTAAATCAAATAGAAACCAAAGCAGTATGCTAATCTTATCGTTCATCATGTATGTGATCATCTTCGTCAAACTTCAGTAAGCCATAGTCGACTTATCACCGTCCTTGAAAGCAATCCTAATCTCAAAGAGCAACACTAAACGTAACTATATCCGTCCTCAAATGACAAATACCAGAGAGGCTCAAACATTTTCCTAATACAATTTCTTAACTACTTATATTAATCAGTGGAACTCTAATTAATTACTTCATACAACTTTAGTCAAGAACAACACATAATCACGGTAATTTAACTCCTTCATCCTCACCCACACCCTCATTTCCAAATGTGGCTCTCAACATTCGTGGTGCAGCATTTAAGTCAATATTTTCACAATATATATTTATTTAGAGTGATACATCAAATAATGACGTTTGTGCTACAGTGCAATTCTTATGATAAAAGTTTATAGTGTTAGTTAGTTATTTTCTTTACTGGTATCATGCAATTCTTGATATTGTTAATGAACAAATCTGTTTTGCTTAATCAATTTCATATTTTATTTTTTGCACGAGATGTTTGATTTAAGGCGGTTAACTGATTGTCTCTGTACAACTCCAACACTATTATCTCGTCGTAAACGACGATATCCTTGTATAGTCCATCGAGTTAATTCAGGAAAAAAGCCAAGCCACATCCATGGAAGGAAAAAATAGATAATGTAAATTAGATCACCAAAGTAATTCTGTTGAATATAATTAAGAAAAGTTGGATCAATAAGAACATTGATAATATAAACTGTAAGAAACGGTCCCCATCCTATTAAATAAAGTCCTGAAACAGAAAATAGTTGTATTAACATCCGTTGTTGATGTCGCCAATTTGTCGATTGTTGCATACGACGTTTTTGTGCAAATACTCGTACGATCAAAACTACATTCGATATAATATCAATAAAAACCGGTAAACTGTTATTAACCACAAGATCGAATGAGCCAAGAGAACTTCCATACGCTAAATAACAATTAGCAAAGCCACATACTCGACTAGTAAAATCCCATTGAGTATTATCACATGGATACAAAAGAATTGCATAGATATAGAATATTGTTGGATAAATAATACAAAATAGAAGTGGAAAATGATGTAAAAGCTGACGTATCCAACATTTTCGTAAAATATTTTGATAAAAAATAAATATATGTCGTTGAAGAGATATAATTGCTAATAAATATTCACTTGATGCATAGATTATATACTCAAAAAATGTCCACCATATACAATAACTTGCAACGGGTGGATTTACGTAACCATGAATGTAAAAACTAAGACTAAGTGGAATATCAAATACAAGCTGAAGAGAATTTATGATAAGTAAAACAAGTAATCCATGGTTTTGTGCAGCTCGAATATGAGTACGATGTTTAGTAAAATAAATAAAGATAAGAATAGAAACTATGATTGATGATATTTGTAATAAAAGTAATATTGTAAATTTGATGCGATAAAAAATAAATTTACTTTTTCCGATGGTTTCTAACTCGGAGACATTCATTTTTAAGAATGCCTACTAAACTAAGACAGAGTTTATTCTTAATGAATGCGTCTGTTTGTATTAGGAGAAATAATTTGTTCAAGAGAATCTTTATTGAAATGAATACATCGAGCGTAAAAATAAAACTTAGCGCTCAAATCCACATGTCAAGCTGTCAGAATAAATTCCCCTTTGAACGATAATGAGTGATCAAGGATGCATCATTCGATCGATTCATTTTTTTCCTTTAATTATGTCATCGTTAGTCAAAACATTAATGAAAAAAAACATATTGAAATGATTATTGATGTTACGAACGCACTTTTTCTCGTTTCCTTCGTCATAAAACAGAAAAATATAGTTAAACAGACATTCTTTTTATATTTTTAAAAATTTGATGTAAAATGTTTTTTGAACATATAGAACGTCGTAATCGAGTATTCGCTCTATAGGAACCTAGATGTAATCTATTCCTTCAACTTATTATTTGTTTCTATTCTCATCAATGTCCAATTTAATTATATCATTTATGGTCTTTTTGTTATCACGATTATTGCGATCTTTTCTTTGGGAATAAACAGAAGATTAAACTGCCCGATATATCAATGAATATGATGATCGTGATAAATATGCCGTCAGAATAAAACATCGTGATGTTTTCATACGCCTTTTTGCGCAAGAGAACGGCGTTATATATAAAAATTTTCACAGGAAGATTTATTTCCGGGTTTGATTGTAAATTTCAACAACTTTATCTATAATATTTACAGCTGTATTCAAAACAACCTTCCACAAAATAATTTTTTGTCGATAGTTGACAGTCGGAAAATTCGTTGTTTTAGGATTATGTACTCGCTAATTCTACTCAACTATGATGGTTACTAGGCATCCAATAAATTGTCAGATATGAACATTATGTTATTTAAATAAAGACGTTTAATCAGCTCTTGTTATATTACTCTCAAAAGAAACATATCACTAAGGACTGCATGTTTAGTGGAAAATGAACAAATCTAGTTACGTAGTAAAACGAAAATAGTCTATTCGACGTGCTTCATAAAACAGTCAAGGGAATTACTAGTTACTATTTTCAATGTCATAATGACATCATTCTTAACGGACTAAAATAAAATTTAAAATAGAACGCATTACGAATCAGCATCTGCATGATAAGAAACATTTTTTTTTAAATCAAATTTGACGTGTGCAACGCGGCAGTGTTCCCAAATACACGGCTGACATCATTAAATAGTTGATTAACAATAATTGATTCTGATTGTTGAGGAGAATGTCTACTAGAAAATATCTATTGAATCTATAAAACCCAGGTCAACAAATCCGATGCTGGATCCGATCGGATCTTACCGGATCCGACCATCCGACAAAATCCGATCGGATTCCTGGAAACGGAATTGCATTGGAATCCGACTAGNAAGAGAATTTATGATAAGTAAAACAAGTAATCCATGATTTTGTGCAGCTCGAATATGAGTACGATGTTTAGTAAAATAAATAAAGATAAGAATAGAAACTATGATTGATGATATTTGTAATAAAAGTAATATTGTAAATTTGATGCGATAAAAAATAAATTTACTTTTTCCGATGGTTTCTAACTCGGAGACATTCATTTTTAAGAATGTCAACTAAACTAGGAGATACTTTATTCTTAATGAATGCATCTTTTTGTATTAGGAGGAATAATTTGTTTAAGAGAATCTTTATTGAAATGAATGTATCGAGCGTAAAAATAAAACTTAGCACTCAAATCCACATGTCAAGCTGTCAGAATAAATTCTTCTTTAAACGATAATGAGTGATCAAGGATGCATCATTCGATCGATTCATTTTTTTTCTTTTAATTATGTCATCGTTAGTCAAAACATTAATGAAAAAAAACATATTGAAATCATTATAGATGTTACGAACGCACTTTTTTTTCGTTTCCTTCATCATAAAACAGGAAAATATAGTTAAACAGACATTCTTTCTAGATTTTTAAAATTTGACGTAAAATGTTTTCTGAACATACGGAACATCGTAATCGAGTATTCGCTCTATAGGAATCTAGATGTAGTTTATTCCTTC